GCTAGCAGCCAAACGCTTCACCAGGGCTCCAGAGGATCTAAAATGTTACTTGGATTTTGAAGAATGGTGCAAATCATGACCTGAAAATATTTAACTTCCTTTTTTTTCATAGAAAGCCAGATTTTCTCACAGTCAAGACATGACAACATTGAATCCTGTCTCCAAAACTTGATTCCTGCCCTCCCCCCGACCCCCTACATCTGATGTACCGTGGCTATTTAATTCTGACAATAATGTAAAGGAAACCTAGCCCTCACATTATCTGGAGAATAAACATTTTTCCGTTACTTTAATCTGCTGTAGGTCTCACAGTGACTTCATCAGTTCTCTAACGTTTTGAATTATCTAATTTCCTTCAGCTTGAAAGATCTAGCCACGTGAGCAGAACACAAACGAGCAACAACCATGTCTTCATTTATATGGAACAGGTGACAGCCCTGACAACCAGGCTGAGACTGTACATATATTTCTAAGCTGGTCTCTTCACTGGGAAACAAGTGATATGGAGAAAGCAAGAACTAGTAGTGCCCTTCCAGAAAGTTCCTCCATGTGTCTCAAGCGTCTCACTTTGAGAAATCCCCTTTTAAATGCATAGAATGTTCTGCTCTCTTTTTAGTTACGTTAAAATTGGGATATTAGTATTTCCATGAAATTTCAAGTACGAAACCAATAGAACAAAAGATCAGTTGAGTATTCCATTCTTTTAAAGACCCCCGCTCCAAAAAAAGGAATATGACCCCAGTGGTTGGTTAATGATAGTGTTAATATTCTAACACGTCACTATATAGAGTAAAATAAAAATTTAAATCTCATGAGTTATCTTCAAACATCTGACTATAAAGCAAAGGAAATGTTTTACCTAGCCACACAGAAATGAAGTTTGATATTATAATTACAAATGATACAAAGCCAAGTCTCTGCATCTTAAAAAACATTCAGATAGGCCCAGTGAGTTAATCTTGTACAGAGATATACAAAGAATATGAATTGTCTCAGTTACTTAGGAGAAAGCCTGCAGAAATTTGTTGTTCACTGTAAAGAGTTTGCAAGACTGCATTCTGAAACCCATCTTACCATCCACAATTGTTTGCTCAACTAAAAGACATATGTGAATAAAAGTCACAGAACAATAAAGACTATATCTCACTTGAAGAAGAAAAAGGGAAGCTTTCCAAGTTCTTGAATACTCCCATCTTTCCTTTCTAGGTGACAAATCAGACACTGAGCTTGTCCTTCATGGTTCTGTAGGACATTCCAGTAAGAGATCTGAAACCAGCCATAGTAAAAGTCTATGATTACTATGAGACAAGTGAGTGAGAGAAATTGAGACACATAACAGTCTCAAACCACAGCTGAGAAATCTGAATTAGAGACATTTGTGAGACTCATTTATGACAGTAGATCTTGTTCTAAGTTCATCAGGCCAACATCATATCTATTTGTTTCTCTTCTCCAAGATATACACTGTAGAAACTACCAACAGAACAAATTAATCAATTAATATTTACTGAGTTAGAAACAAAAATTTTAAAAAGAAGGATAATATCTAGTCAATGCCCTCAAGTAGTTTACAGACTTAGAGGGTCTAATACACAAGAAAAGGTAATATAATAAGGACAGGCAGTTAATGACAAGAATATTGATGAGCTAAATGATAAGGAGTTTGAGGGATAAAAACAGCACTGAAGGTTTGGTACATAAGAAGGTCAAACAGAGAAAGGAAGGTCTGAATTGATCCTAAAGAATGAGCGTAACTGTAAGAGTAGATAGGAGTAGGAAGAATGTTTTAGGCTGGTGCAACAATCTTAGAAAAAGGATTAAGGAAGTAAGCTGGGCAAACTGAGCAGAAGCAGAGAGTCCATGGAACAGCCAACCATAAGTTGCCCTAAGAATTTAAAATTTTAACAACTGTCGTCTGAACAGGCTTCAATTCCTCCCTAGAGGAAAAAAAATAGGTATTTTAACTACCCTATTCAACTCTGGTCTACTTACATGGAGTTTTCACAGTTTTGATATGAAGCACTTTGCTTCAACAATAAGTCAAATAGACCTCATAGGGCACCTAGTTCATAGGTATTTTGTTTCTTCCTTCACCCCATATTTCTTTTAGATGAATCTGCTATAGCTGAATATACTGCCCCTTCCAGCACAGGTAAGAGGTCACATGCCATGACCATTAACCCATTAACCTTGCTCTCCAAACTTCCTTATAGGTTTTAAATTTTTTACAAGTCTTTTTCTACATCTGACACAATTCACATGACATGTTCTCACACAAAAAGAAAATTTTGGAGAACACTTACTTGGCAGGTGAGCTCTCCAGTTTTAGATATTTACTCCATTATTGGAAAAGTCAGTAAGCTTTGTTTGTTTGTAAGACAGCTATCTGTAATAGGTAACATTTTGCACCACAACTAGTTGGGTTTCCTTGGGCCTAGGGGTCAACTAATTATGGCTTTTGAGCCAAATCCTGCCCCAACATCTATTTTTGTAAATGAAGTTTTATTAGAGCACAGTCATGCCCATTCCAAGACATCTTGGAAGAAAGGCCTAGTGATCTACTTCCAAAAAGTCAGCCATTGAAAACCCTGTGGAGCCCAGTTCTATTCTGACACACATGGGGTCACGAAGAGTTGGAATCAACTCCACAGCAATTGTTTTTGTTTTTATGGCTGCCTTCACAGTTTGAGTAGTTGTGACATAGACCATATGGCTCTCAAAACCTAAAATATTTACTATTTTACCTTTTACATAAAAAGTTTGTCAGTCCTTGCTTTAGCCCACTCTGCTGCCCATACTAACTGAGGAAATACTCACTCTTCAAGAAACCCCACAATCTTCTTATGTTTTTCTACTGTTCATAGATACAAAGCATGGAAATGTTTGAAGACCACACTTAAGCTACATATTTTGCCATATTCTCTGTCCTACACTTCTTTTTAGAAGAAATGGATTTCTTTGTCTCTGTAAAACAGACACCAAAATGGCTTGTTGAATAAATGTATATTTCTGGTCAAACTATCATTTGTTCCATCATTTATTCATTATGTATTAATCACATATTTGCATGATGAGTCATATTGTTTTACCTAATTTGGAGAATACAGATTTGTAATATATCTGCTTATATTCCAGCTTTTGATATAGCATATAAAATCCAATAAAGATTAATTTAAAATAATTTATATTCTAAGGGGCATTAAAATAAAATCACTACTTTGTCTAGGAAGTCTTCACCTAGAAGTTGAAGGGAAAAGAAGCAAGTACCATTGATTAGTAACTTTTGTTGTTAGCTGCCATCAAACCATACTCCAACTCATGGCAACCCTATGCACAATGAAATGAAACACAAACCAGTCCAGCACCATTCCCATGACTGGTGGTGGATCAATCCATTGTGATCTACAGGGTTTTCATTGGCTGATTTTTGGAAATAGATCTCCAGGCCTTTCTACTTAGTCCATTATTTGGCTGAAACCTGTTTAGTATCATGTCAACACATAAGCCTCGACTGACAGACAGGTTGTGGCTACTCGTGAGGTGCATTGGCTAGGAAATGAACCCACGTCTCATGCATGGAAGGCAAGAATTCTACCACTGAACCACCAATGCCGCATAATTAGTAACTACCTAACCCAATCTATTGCCGTGGAGTCGATTCCAACTCATAACAACCCTAAGTTGTAAATATTTTTTTTAGGGGTGTTTCTTCCTAGTCTGTCTTAGTCTGGAAGTTCTGCTGAAATTTTTTCAGCATCATAGCAACACAAAAGCTACCACTATGCCCACATTTCTCCTGCACAGAATTGTGGGTCATAGGCATATATATTTATCTTTACTCATGCTGCAAACAGTTTTCCAGAGTGGTTGTACTGATTTGCTCAAATACCAGCAGTATTTGAGAGTTTAAGCTGCTCCTCATCCTTAGCAACACTTGGTATCATTGAGTTTTAATTTTTAGCCATTCTTCTAAGTATACAGTGAAATTTCATTGTAATTTTAATTTGCATTTCCCAATGACTAATAATGTTGAGCACTTTTTCATATATTTAATAATCATTTGATATCTTCTTTTGAGAAGGATCTGTTAAAGTTATTTTTACTATTTTTTTATTAGATTGTGCGGGTTTTTTTCTTATTGATTAGTATGAATTTTTTTAATATATTCTGGATATATATTTATTGCTAGATATCTGTATTACGAAAATTGTTTTTCTCTCAATCACTTGCCTTTTCTTTGTCTTAATCATGTCTTTAGATGAATAAAGTTTCTTAATTCTAATGAAGTCCAATTACCTATTTTTTCTGTTATGACTAATGCCTTAAGCTTTAAATTCCTCCAGAGTTGGGCTGCTTAGAGTGGGATCTGGATGTTCTTGTTCCACCCTCTGTTTTCAGTAGTTGCTGCATGCTTGTGTCACTAAGATAGTCTCTCTCCACACTGTTGTCCCTCTCCCGGCAGTAGACTCTAATTGCTTGTTATTCTGTGCTAGGCTGAAGATATTGTCCTGGTTCAGTCTTCATCTTAGGCAGGCCCTATGCATCTGGGCCTCAGAGGAGGCTGGAGCTTTCTCTCACTTTGCCTTGTGTCTGTGGTGATCTTGGATAGGACCACCTCTCCCCAAGAAGAAGCACATCACTGCTCAGGATGGTTGTAAGAACCTTGGTTCAACAGTTTCCTGCCCCTCTCCCAGCAGCAATAAATCTTTGCTTATGTCCTGGGGGATGGGAGCATTCCTGGCCCCTCTCTAGAAGCTTAAGGCTTTTATTTAGTATGAAGTAAGAATCTAGGGAAACAGATGGGGACTCATGCTTATACCTGTAAGGATAAACACAAATCTAAAAAAAAAAAAAAACCCTAGAATTTTCCCTAGTGCCAAAAGGAAAGAGACTTCCATCCTCCCCCACTTTTTTTTGAGCATTTCCTTTAGAAAATTTGTAATTGTACATTCTTTCTCTGTTCCTGTGAGATACAGTTAAAGCCTTTTTACAAGCTACAAATGTTTCTCACAGTTTTACAGCCCAAGAAT